TTACACATTTATAAATTAAGAAACAATGGAAATGACTTAAATTTGTATGTCATTTGTGCTACAATAATAATATATCTATTAAATAATTGGCATAATCTTAAATATATTTAATTTTTGCAAATATGCCAAAGCTGTGTTGTAATTGGTAAGTGTTATATTAAATTGCTATTTGATATCAGATTTCCTTGGGTAAAGTAATATATTATTTTCCTCACAGGACAACTGGACAAGCCCTTCATCTCTTTGAAATAAATTGGAATGGCTTGAGAGACATGCACAGCATGTCGACAGTTCCATGTGTATTTAAAGAACTAGAGAAAGAAGGAAGTGCAGAAGCTACAGGAAGCCTGAACTGGATAAGAATAGTGCTTAGTGATAAACCGAATACACATTGACAGGAAATTGAATTTAGTGGCCAGGCCGCTCTCATTCACATGGCTGTTTTAGTATTCAACAACTGAAGTAAATGAAGTGCCTGTTCCACTGTCTGTTTCATCTGTCCTTAATTAATTACAGGGTGCAGCCTGTGTGTCCAGGGATTCCGATAACCTACTTCATTACATTTTAGCTGTCTTTAATTGAGAATAAGGGCATAAATAGAGAGTAGAACTATGGTGTGGAATATAAACATTTCCAAGTTCCACAGTCAATTTACTTTCGAATTGAATTTACCAAAGAAAGGAGAAAAGGAATCGGCTGAAAATAGTTTTGCTAACATTCGCTGAAAAGATAAGTGTTGATATTTCTACCATTTCATTTGCCTTGCTTCTTGTTATAGAAACTCATGGGATAAGTATACACACAAAGTGAAACAAAGACAGTATTCATAGGGTTTCACAAAAAGCCTAATTTTTTTAAGCAAATAATCTAATAGTAGGGCTACCCTTGCATATAAAGTCTTCAATATGCAATATCATTCTTTAATTTGTTTAAAAAACTCCAGGCTTCTTAAATTATACATTTCTTTATACATTAACCTGCCTCACACTTCATTGTTGTTGCACATTTTCAGCACAAAGATTGTTAAATAAGAGTAAAATGGAAAGGTAAAGAGTGCTTCTTGTGAATCAAAAAAATCCTTCAAAAGGTTTGCTTTTGATGAGGAACATGCAGTTGACTATTTGTATATGAAAAGCAGATCAGACTGGAGATAATCAAACCACATTGAGTGAAACCATGATTATTTTGGTCTACTAAAATATGACTTGTCAAATCATAACCTATGAATTAATTGTATATTTTATCAACTGAAAGCAAAAGCACCTGAGTTTTTATGGATGTATCCTTGAGTGTTTTCATTTCTGTATTTCATAATATGGGGCACAGCAAGTTACAGCTAGTTAGCATTAACAAAATGTTGTTGTTGTTGTTGTTGTTGTTGTTGTTGTTGTTGTTGTTGTTGTTGTTGTTGTATCTAACTCAGTTCTCCGTTTCCAGAAATGTTGAGAACAGCTCATTGACTGTAACTCTGTTAGATAGAAATGTTGAAATAGGTTTTTGACTGCGTTTAAAACTAAAATGAGCCTGACTGTTTTATATGAACAACTGTAATTATATTTTGGATTTCATAATTTGATGCTAATACAAAAGGTAACATCTTAGTTTAAATGGAGGTAAAAGATTTAGGGTTCTTTTGATTTCTAAAATAAAAAAATCACTTTCACAATAAATGTGAAGATAACCTTGTGTCTAAGAGTTCATTAATTGGAGTTCCAGCTCAGGGAGGTTGCCAGGCTGTGCCTGGGACACATGGGGAAGCTCTGCATTAATTTAGCTCTTCTAATGTCTTCAAAGAAAAACTTTACAACCACGAGGCCCACTGAGGAAAGGCAGAGATCACCTGAGAGCTGAACTGTCTTCTACTGTGTAAAAATGATAAAGTTCATAAGGTGTGAAGAAGATCTGATATCTGACAGCACTCATTGATCTTTGACCTTCTTTGCTTCTCTGTACTGTACGTGCCAATCACAGGGCAAGATAGTTAACTGTCTCTTCCAAGCTAATACAAAAGGCATCTTATTATGTTGCAGCTTGTTATAGTGGTTTCTAAACACTGTGGCGGAGTTCTAATGAATTAGGCTAGAATGTTCAATTTCCTGACATTCATATCTGTATTTGAGTAGTGAATGATGCTACCTGTACTCCTGGCAAAATAATTCTATCATGATTTATTGTCAAGGTTAGCAAGGTGCCCAGTCATTAGCATTTCAGCTTTGGTTCAATTCCAGACCTGGGATGTGTTTTCGCCAGGTGCTCTGGTTTCCTTCCACAGTCCAAAGAAATAGTGGTAGGTTAATTTGCTTCTAGGAAAACTGGCTCCAGTGTGAATGAGTTTGTGTCCATATGCCCTGGTATGGACAGGTGTCCTGAACAGGTTATACTCTGCTTTGTGCCCATTGCTTGCTGGGATGGGCTCTGGCTCCCCCACAACCCTGTTTTAGATAAAGTAGTTAGAAAATGGATGGATGAGTAATTTTCTTCTATTTATGCAACTAAAGCTGCCAGAAATATTTCCAATGTAAATTCCCATGGTGCATCAAAACAAATTAAAACAAAATGCAGCTATAACCGAAATGACATTGATATTGGTAATATCTATATGGAATGCCATTTGGTATTGTGGTAGATTTACAGACAACGTTCATTTATTGAAAACTTATAGTATAAATTAACAAAATGTTTCTGTACATTGGCTGCAGAAATTGTGTTACCCATAGAGAATTGCTAAGTAAAGAAAGATGATGTGTCAAAATAATTAACACTTGCATCACTGTACATTAGTAACATACTGTAGGATGGCTACAGGTACAGGACCTGGTTACTGACCTGTACCTTGTTGTTTTATTCTAAATTAATTTTAGTGGCAAAGAAAGATCAAATACTTTACTCTGTTTTATGTGGCAAGCCAAATAATCATTTAACAATATGTCTTAATCATTTTTAGATATATTCATACATTTAAAGACATTTATAACTATGTGTAAGTATCTATTAATATTTACAATAGATCTTAAACTGATTAAGAAGTATCTCAAAATCTATAAAAAAATTAAAGATATCTATAAATGAGTTATAAATATCTTCAAATAGAGTGGTATAATATGATATTGCTGAATATAATAATAGATTTACACATTTTAGATTTTACCTAGCAATAATTTCATTGATCATGCAATGCTGCTTACAGTACAGTATGTCTTACTGCTGTCACCCTACTTATCTGAAGAGAAGAACAATGATATGTAATTGTATAGGGTGTATGGAGATTGTAAACCAATGCCACTGATTAGAAGATTATAAGTCTGTTCTGATGTACCTTATTTTATTCATGTGTTGGTATCAATAATTTTCAACATTTTTAGGCAATCCGTCCAACCCTTACCCTAATGAAGTCAAGACCGGTAGTGCATGCTTTTCCAATGTAAAATTTGCATTGTTCTGCACTGCCTAAAAAGGGGAGTGTTTATGTCTGTAGAGTCTATATGCTACTGTTTGCATAAAAACCCATGACAAACCTCTCTAAACTAGAAGAAGCTATTTTAAGGGTTTATGAGGACCTTTTAAAAGTGCTGTTGTTTACTTAGCAGGTACATGATAGGAATGTCCTCAGTTAAAACCCATCAATTTTAACTTGCTTTTGAGTTATTTTTCTTGTCCAGTCAGTAACACTGTAACATTCTAGTCACTTTTTAAAATAAAAGTGAAAATGTTTTTTTACACTGACATGCATTCTCATTCTCACAATTTTAAGCTATTTTAAAAGATGTAACTACTTATAACTAACACTTTGGAATACAATTTTTTCTCACACTTAATCTTCTTTGTTCCAAAGGTATAAAGGTATTTTTGTTACTGGCCATGAAAGAACACTGCTATATCAGAAGGATAAATGTTTCTTTTTCAAATTACTACCCAGGTTGTTTTCATAGCCTACGGACGAATGAACTTTTAAAAGGTAAAAATATCTAAATTTTTTGCCTTGGGTATGAAACCATATCTCCTGCCAGTGTTCACTCAGCATATATATTTCAAAGTCTTGAAACTTCACTCCTGTTCACTGAAGTTCAGAACAGAAATATCACTAATAAGAATGTCAGTCCTGCTTTTCTGTTGAAATAAGGCTCTTTTCTCCAGACTCTGCTTACAGCGTCTTTAAGGTGCAGTATTAGGAAGAGACAGGCGGTGACAGTGAGAGAATTCTCGAGTCTTTTTGAGCTTTTTACCTCTAGTAGTCTGCGTTTAGAACAGCAGCCCCAGGGTATGCTGGTCCCCAATACAAAAACAAGTACACAAGAGATTTGCACAGTATTCTACTACTTAGGTTTCTATGTCTGCATTTGATTTTCCTTGTACATTCTTGATTTTATCCTATTCTGGTGTCTTTTCTTAGATGAACAATACACTGCGGCCCTGTGCTGGCCTTCAAAAGTTGAAAATTGATGAAACTCAGTCACTCAAAGAGCTTCAATGTCTCAGAAATAACATTTCTGAGTTGTTTTGGTCAATACTTTTGACACTTGAAGGAAATAACAGGTAATATATAGTGTGTTTTTACTTAGGACTTCACCATAAAAACCTAACACTGAGGAGGGAGAAAAGTAATGTATAGCTTAACTGGAATAAGGACGTTATTATTAATTGATGGTACATACAACAGTAATCTCTCCTGACCATAGCTTTTCTTTGTCCATCTGGGTTGGATTACTTGGATTAACTTCCAGATATATTCATCTATCCAATTTCGCCTTTCCGTGAGAGTATGTCTACCAGAAGACTGATTACCCTTTTCACATGTGCAAGGCTTTAAATAAAATAAAAAAATTGAACAAAAAAGGAAACGTCATACCACTCACTCATGGTTAAGTAAAGCGATGTGTCAAACACAAATGTACATTTATATAAATTAAATATTTATACATTTATATTTATAGACATGATTTAAAAATGAATTTTGAAACTAAACAAACACATTTTTACAGCTCAAAAATAAAAACATAACTGTAGCATTTGATTTCCCCAAGTTAGTTGTCCACCACCAGGTGTACTGGGTTTACCAAGTATAAGGGTTTTGTTGTGTAAAGCAGAAAACATCCCATGCTCAACAAACAAAAAGTAATTGTTTATCCACATGTTGTTAGGCTCTTTACAACCCCTAGGCAGGTTTATCTTTACTATATAATATATAAATTACTAGTACAATACATTTGGTTGTGGATATTTTGGCTGGATATCCTATCATCATGCAGGCTTGGGTGGCAATATACGGTGCCTCCTAAGAGTATCGGTGCATTTCCCCATACAGTCCTTTTCCGATATCAGTGACACTATACACTGTATAAAATGTAATAGTGGTTAGTGTGGACAAAAGGGGCATACAGCTGTTACCACAGGCTAAAGGAGAAAGGTAGTTTGGTCAGACAACAAATATCTTTGCGCGCAACCTTCCGTCAATAACTATTTCTATCTGTGGTACTTCCACATACTGAACCAAGTCTGCCTTTTCTGTTTGTAAGTTTGTTAATCTAAATGGGAAAGATGGTGGGTATTTTATCCTGAATACAATGTACCAGCTGTCAGGAACAACAGGTGAAATTCGTTTGGTAAGCGTTTGAGTTTTAAAATTGGAATGGATTATTATATCACGACTTGAAAAATGACTAATCTTCATAACATTGGCCTTTTGAATTCTAAAAATCAGAAAATGTTCACTCTCCGTCCCACTTTATGATATCAGCTGATTTACAGTGACTGCATATTCTTCAGAGACTAAACGACAGGTGAAATCGAAAATGACACAGGTAACTAACAGTATACCAATGAAATTCTTAGTACAGGTGTAAAAACATTAAGCACCATAAAAATACGAAAATAAAATGAATAAATCTGTTTTTATTTGAATATGGTCTCCAACTAGATACTCATCACATTTGTAACACCAATCCACAAACATTAAAATGTTACCTACTAACGAATTTGTATTACTCTTATAACGGCAATTATTTTTTACATTTTAACTAAGCTTTAGAACTGGTGAACGTGAGCATGTCCTCGATTTAGTAAATACTTTAGCTTCACGGAATAAAGGCAAACAGAACGAATGGCAAGGAGAAAACCCAATACGGTAAGCATATCAGATTGTAACTTTTTTTTGGCTATTTATAACATTACTCCAGCCTTAGTAACTCGGGTGTCTCACTTTTTAAAGCCCATAAGCAGCAATCTTTAGCTACGCAAAGCACGCTGCCCCAGCTCCGCCGTTTGCGGTAGTGTGTAAACACCAGCAGCTCTCTCGCTCCTCCTCTCCACCTCTCCTCCCCCAGTTCCCTCCACTCCCTCTCCCAAAGAGCCTGAATGATAAACTCCGGGACAGAAAATGGCGGCGGCGGGGAGCCGGACCTCGTCGTCGGGAATAGCAGAGTTAAATAACGGCAGTGGCGTCGGCAGTCCTTCTCAGGGCACCTCCAGCACGGCTGGTCTTCCGAGCAGCCTCGGGCCGGCGAAGAGCGGCTGCGGCGGGGAAAACCCTCAGTGGAGACGCAGGGAGCTGCGGAAAGTGAGGAGTGTAGATCTGGACAAGCCCGAGTCGCTGCTGCTGTCTCCCGAGACCGGGACTGCTCCGATATCGGCGCAGCTGCACTTCTTGTCGATTTCTACTCCCGGTGGGATCCAGGCGACCCTCCTGCAACCCAGCCAGCCGGCTCCGCAGAGCAACTCGCTGCACAGCCGCCCCGTGTCGGACAGCTCGGGTCACGCCGGCGGCTTGTGCGCTGCCGCCGCTCTGGAATTGCTGAGCATCTCCACTCGTGGGAGCTGCGGCAACCACAATGCAGACTGTGGTGCCACGGGGGCTTCACTGGACATGATCTCTTCACCACATAGGTAGGAGATTAAGCCTTACTCCCCTCCTCCTCCCCCCGGAGTCTCGAATTTAACGGGCTTTGCTTTTCGTGTTGTGGGTGTTGTGATCTGCTTTACGGGTGAGGTGGATGTTTGCCACGGCAGAAGTGCAAGAAGCGCTTCAACTTTTCCCGGCGGATGTGATTTCCGAAACTTTTGTGAGTGTCACCACATTGCAGTCTTTAAAGAAGAGTTGATTGTGTGAAAAGCGCCGGGAAGTGAATTGCGATCCGTTTAAATTCTTAGTGGGGGAACGTTAGGAAATTTACGGATTTTTTTGTGTTTTATATCTTGGAAATCGCAATCTCAAAGGCGCAGGCGGCGAAAGAGTTGGTCTCTTTTAGATTGGGAAATGCGCTTTCGGGATGCAATTAATTGTGGAAGAGACCCCGGGATTGAAACACCATTGCCTGGTTTTAAAAATAACCCCGTTTTCCTCTTGGTTTCTAATGTCAGAGCTCAAACTGAAATCTTCTGCCTAATGAAGCCACACGGATACCTAGATACCTCTCCCGCAGCTGAAAGTGGGAATTCAACATTTTACACCGAAGATCAACGAAACAGCGATTGTTTACTTTTAAGGTTAACGGTCCCACCAAACGTTTATTTTAATTATTTCTCAGGTTTGGCACGTCAACCTTTTCCTCGTTAGCCCAAAATACGTGCGTAATGGCTGTTTCCTAGCATTTCTTGAGTCCACGTCCGCATCCTGCTACCTCAGTGACAGAGGTCATGATCGCCTCTACGTTTGAAAATGTGTAACGTGTGGTTTCCAGCCTATCAGCTGGAGCTGTTGAAAGACATTGTTCCGGCTGTTTCTATAGCCAAGCCGGATTTTGTAGTACGTTTCAAGGTATACATGGGGTGTAAAGTCCTTTTTTATTAACATTCCGAGGAAAGTAACGTCTTCTGTTACTGAATCGATTAAATCAAGACGTGGAAATGCAAGATGAGCTATCGGTGATTTATGATGGCTTGCATGGGATTGATAGTAATGTGGTATATTCATACAGTTTAAAAGAGGTCCCGTCAGTGCTTTATTTGTAACTCTCCTCCTCCGGTCTTGCGCCTCAAGCCTGCAAGGTTTCGAGCACGTGAGCGGAGACGCCAGTTTCTGCTGGTGTGCAGCTGTGGGGAAACTCGCAGGAGCGCAGGGCTGTGATTGCCTTTGAGAGAGGGGGGAGAAAGAAGCCAGTTTCTTTTGAAATATGTAACTTTTTTATGTCGTGTAGAACAACAGTGGAGTTAAACAGTGGTACAGGGGGCACCAAGTAATTTCGGACTGCAGAGGTGTGCTAGATATATTTTAATTCTAATCGCTTATAAACGCAGTAGACGTGCATAGAGCGAAACATCTTTTTGTTTTGGTGGAGTTAAACTTTTCTTGCTGTGAAAGTTAAAAATTAATGGGGAAGTCCTTTACTCAGACGAATGAATCAATGTTATGGCGTGAGATGAAGCAGCGAAGCGGTTAGAATGAAGGACTGCGTTTTTGTTGTCAGTGCGGTGAAGGCTTTTTGTAAATCGGGGTGTAGAATTGGATAATATACGGTGAATACAATGCGTCAAGATAAAATGGTGAAAGAGAGGTATTCCAATGTGGTATATCACCTTTGCCTCTGAAAATGTACAACTGAAAACGCACGGGTCCAGTTTCTGCATAAATATAGTTCTAGTTTAGTGTATTGAATAGGGACAGATGGAAAGTGAGATAAAAAGCTACTTTACATATCTCGGGGCAGAACACACCAACCAGATACAAGATGTAGACATAAAAAACATATAAACACATCCCATGGTAAATAGAAATAACAGATGTAATTGCTCAACAATAATGGCATGTTAATAAATTATTAATATAATTTTAACTATTGCTGAATAGCAGAACAGTGAGTAAGCACTTAAAACTATCTGGCATAATGGTTCCCCTTCTGATTATAAGACTTTCTTTAGCCTCACAGGAAGATCATTAAGCTGGTAGAATTAAGTACAGAGCAGCATCCAGAAATGTTAGTTTTGCACAGATATGTTTTTTTGTTGGGAGTCTTTCACCATAATTACCTAAAGATTTTGCAGTTTTAAAGAGTGGATGGTTTAAGTACATGCTTTCTTTAAAATTCAGATAAGGTGGGTCGGAAACCATCTTTGTCAAAGTTTAGACCAGTCCTCCTGGAGCCATTTCCTGCAGTGGGAATGTACTGTATTGTGAACCGATACTATTGTTTTGAGCCAGGTTTCTTTGGGAATGTGGTTTCGTCTGTGTTTATAAGAGTCCTTTTTGAAGTTAAAAGTTCTCAAGAGTGTTTAGTGATAGAGATTTGACATGGGAACTTAATTTAAATGTGCCTTCAAGGCACAAACTCTTTCTTCCTATTTTTAAGACAATTTAAAAAGCAACCAGTATAGTAAATAACGCAGTTCCATGTTTTGTACATGTTCCACGTTGCCCATTTACATACAAAAGTGTCTGCTTTTATTCTAATTTTTATATAACTATGGCTAAAATATAACAGGTGATATTTTTCCCCATTAACATTTCAAAAGTAAAAGGTTTCACTAGACATGCATGATACATTTTTCACTAACAACCATGCTTTGTGACATTTGGTTGAAACTATTGGGTTTAATGATCAAAAATTGTGTGTTTAATGAGTATTTTCATTACTGAAGCAGAAAGCATTTCTAATGCTTGTGCATGACAACTGGAATGTGATGTGTACCTTACTTATTAACAGTTTAATGTGCACATTTGCTTTTAAAGGTGCCTTAGTTGCATGGCCTGTAAAACTATTTTTTGAGGAAATTGAAGCCTAAAAAACCTTTTTGTAAAGTCTCTAAAGACTTGTTTACATGTGCAGTACAGTTTTATGTTCATGCGGTCTATGGGATCTGTAGGTAACTTCACTCAAAAGATATTTCCTTCTAAAAAATATGCTCCTTCGGGGGTTGCATTTTGGACTGTAAGTCCATTTGCAGTGTCTGAAATGAACACTAAAGTTGTTCTGTTGCTGCACATGTATGTCTAGATCTTCACACGTGTCATGTTGGTATGTTAATAAGACAGAAATTATGTGAAGGTTTTACAGAATGTGGATGAAAATATCTTCAGAAATCCACATTTTTTGGTCACCCACCCTAAGTTATTCTCTTATGCCATTCTGAGCTCCATTTACTCTGGCAGTAAGCAATAGATGACTCAGTGCTCTTTGTGGGGGTATTTCTCTGTTAGTTGGTGATGAGATATAGGTAAAGCTAGGTTCAGAATTAAAAATAGAGCGCCGTATTCAGCTGTGTTTCTTCTGTGGGTGTTTGTTGCTTTCCATGCTTTGTGACCTATAGGGTGTCATGTGATAGTCTACCCCTGCCCCCACTCTTCAGCCTGAAGTAAAGTCTGGTAGTAAACCCCTTGTCCAACTCTGCATGGTTAAAGTCATACGGTTGTCTGTTTTGCCTTACTGGGGCAAATGTTAAGGCAGCCACAGCCCTGTGGTGCCATTTCGCAGTTTTGTGTACACTTCCCCTTAGCACGCAGGCCTTTCAGGGCAGGTAGGCTAGAATACTCGTGCACTGTTTTGTCGGCCTCTTGAGAAATTCCTTGTTCTATAACAGCAGCGTGGGAAGGCTTAAATAGCCAGCAGGGGTGCCCCTGAAACGCAGAACCTCATACCCTTTGCACAGGAAACCATCCCGGTTTATTTTGAAGATATACTGCTTCCAGGTGTCTGATCATTAACCGGAAAGATTCATTTATGAGCAGTGTTTTTAATCAGGGATCAGTTTTCTGCTCTAGCTTTGATAGGGTTAAGTGAATCTCGTATTAGGAAAAGGGTAATTGAGTATGAGTACAGTGAAGTAGCTTTTTATTTGGGAAGGTTCCCTTCCCAGTCTTCAGGGGCAGTTATAGAGCTAGGTCATGGTTTCCTCTGAGCTCTGTAACTATCTAGAGAGTTTGAGATGGCAAATTGTTTTTCAGGATGTCTGAAGGGGAACTTCAGAAATTTATTTTGTACATAACGTAAGCAGTAAATTAGGAGCAGTTGTAAACAAACATTTCATTATAGTGGTTTGAATCCCATTGTAATGAACTAGAAAGTAGTTAATGTTATTTTTTTTTTTAGTTTTGATACTGTTGTAAGCCGTGTGGTGTGACATTTGGTTTGGCAAACCCTTGTTTTTTTTAGTTTAAAAAAATGTTATGTAGACCCTTGCTCAACAAGCCTTATATTTAAACGTGTTCCAGTGTTTGATGATGACTTTGGGAAAAGATGACTGTGGGTCTGAGTAAAATTAAAATGTGAATTAATTGTTCATTGATTTTTATATCAGTTGTATTCAACTTTGGTAGATTTCCTAGGCCTACAATTTCCTTAATGTTTTCTCATTGGATTGGGAATTAAATTCATGATTATGATTAGAATTCTTGTTTAAATCTGAATGCTACACTTACAGGAACTTTGTGTGTAAAAGTGTGACTAGGAAGCATTTTTCACTTTTCATCTTAATTCCTTGATTTTTTTTTTAATCTAAAAAAGGGAAATGTCTAACAAATTTTGGGGGACACATTTTAAAACCTGGCCTTTTTTAGAAAAGAATCTGAAGGTAGGCCTAATTTTGAATGCATGGGTTTGAACAATTAAATGTAAAAAATGCCAACGTTCAGAAATTTTACTTGTGCAAATGCAACCAATTTCAGATAATTTATCTGTTGCATGTCATTAAGCAATAATTTGTAATGTACTGTAGTAGCTAAAACTAAAAGCCTCTTTTTTTATGAACTGCAGCCATTGCTTCAGGAATTGGGAGTTCTTTTCTGAGACAGGGAAGTGGTTATTACTGGCTTTGCCTTGGGCAATAGACTGTTCTTTAAAAATCTCTTCAGATCAGGGATTCTGGTGTATCCACTTTAGAAATGGGTTTTAAATCTGGTTGTGTAGTGCAGCTTTATGTTTTTCCCTAGCAATATTGTTACATTTAATATATTG